GTATCCTTCCTTGCTCTTCTCAAAGGGGTTTTATTTGTAAGAAACCAAAGAGTAAGTGCCTTCTTTAATAGTTGCTCTTGATGTTTATGATCTCAGTACTAATAGCACATACAGTCATTACAAAAGACATCACCTGTTTCAGCAGTCAAAAATAATAATATATAGTTATCTTTTTTGTCTGTTCTGTTCATAACTTCAGATTTTCTTGCATTGTGTGATGAATGTTCAATTAATAACTAAAGATGATCAATATTTTCTTTAAAAAATTTTAAACTCCTTTGTCATTTTGCTCCAACATACACGTGTACTTTCCTGTTAACGTTTGTATTCACTTTCTATGGGACAATGATTTGCTTTTCTTCCCCTTGCTGTACTATGATACATGCTGTTCCAGAAAGAGATGGATGAAGCAATTCTATTTAAATAATAACAGAAAGGAAGCATGATCCAGAGAGCATATAGTGACCTTTGAAAATAGTAGAAGTGGTTTTGTTAGCTTTTTTTTTTTTAATATTGTGTTTCTGTGTAACCGAGTACCATCTGCTTTGGTCAGGAAGCAGAAATATCAGAATATCGTGAGTCAAGCAGCCATGTGGTATTTTGGAGCTTAACTGTTAATGCTGAAAAAAAAAGTACTATTTCCTGCCCTGTTTCACAACCCTGAGGTTGGGGATGTTGTTGTGGTTCTGTCCTTTTCCCCCACCCGGAGCAGGGCTGCAGCTGGTGGGGAAAGCAGCCATACACATTAGTAGCGATGTCAGACCATTTTCTGAAATGAAAAATTCTCGGTTTAGTGCAATTCCTGGTTTTCTTTGGATAGTCAGGGCAACAGACACTACAGAAAGCTCATTCTTTGTTACCAGATATATTGGAAACACAGAAAGTCCATGTCAACACATACTTGTTTGATGGGTTTGACTGTAAGCGGCCCCTATGTGCAGTGCCAAAGTACAGAGAATATTCCCTGACACAGGTTCTCCCGTAGATTAGTGTTTCAGCACAAACCAATTTTACATTACAGTGAGCTCTGCAACCTTCTAATGGACAATTTAACAGTTGCATTCCTTTCCTGCTCACAAACACACTGGAGCTCAATGTGTTGATGTGCTTCTGCAGCAGCAGCCCAGCTCCTGGTGCTTCCTAGGCTGGGATACACATCCTGACTATCCCTGCAGCTCAGGCTGCCCAGGGGGAAGATCTGTTTTTGCACTGTTCGTCCAGCACCGACCCAGCACGCCTGGAAAGACCTTGCAGATGGCGCCCTCTTCGCACAGCCAGGAAAAACTGCCTTTAAACCTTGAGCTTATAATTATAGATACAAATAAATGATGGTAAATTGAAATCTGCTGGGTCTCAAAGGAATTGTGTGCAGTACAGGAAAACTGTCAAATATCCTCAGCACTTGATCAAGTTGTCTGCAGTCTCTGCAGGCATGGAGAATCAGCAAAGAGGGCAAGATTTATTAACTAGAGAAGAGAAAGTCCATTTAAACCAGTCAGACACTACCTGCACTTGGAGATTCTTTGGTTATTAAAAAAGCAGCAAGAAGGGAGCTTCAATATATAAACCAGCAGTTTTATTACAGTGAATATCAGATTAAAAATCAATCTCACCTTTTCATCTCTGTTAATTTAGCAAATATGTTTCCATAAGAAGATGAGGTAATCTTGGTGCACAGTCCTTTTGTTAACATGAAACTGTCAGGATGAAAATGTGACCTTTTTAGATTTTAATCAAACATTTGTCTTTATTTTTGACAGTTATTCTTAAAGCAGCTGCAAATGTGGAAGGTAGAATTTAATTTTACTTCCTAATAGTTTCAAAGAGACACAAAAAGAAGAATTTGGTGGGTTTTATGATTTGGTATTTATTATTTATTTGTCTTTTATATATTTATTTATATTGGCTTAATTTACTTAGTTGCCACTGAATAATTTACCAGTACCAATGAGACACTTAAGGCATCCCAGGAAACTAAACGCTTTGGTAAACTGATCACCCTCTCTTTGCTCCTTCTTTTGCATGCTAAGATATATGAGGGGTGCTGTCACAGAGACATTATCATAGATTTTACCCCGGTAATTAAGGGGGAACTTAGACCAATAATTTTCAGTATCCTTGTATTTATTTATGGCTACAGTACACCCACTTCTATTTGCTTTGTATTTATTTACAGACGCCAGAAAGGACAAAGCACATGGTCACGTGAATATGTGGATACTACTTACTCTGGTCCTCATCATTTTAGTAGGGATGGGCTTCATTGTTTATTTTTTATTCAAGATCAAAACTCAAAGTGAGACTGAAGGAGAGACAAGGCGGTACAGCACAGCACTAGAATACAGCTGTGCCCTAACTGGAAGGGATGGTGAAAGTGATTCTACCAGCAACAAAGGAAACAGTGAACACAGTGTTGTCTAATGGAATAACACAGCTGGACTATATGGTTAAGCTTAAAAAAACATATCTAGCTGGAACAAATGTAATCTTGAAGAAGTTACATGCACCTAATAGATATTATGAACTAAAATTAGCAATTATTCCTTTTTTTGGTAAGGATTAAGAGCTATTGCTCTATGCTCTTCAAAAAATATTCTCATGACAGTGTGACCCAGAAATGTATAAAATGGCTAATTAAACAAGCATGAAAAACAAAAAAACTAGTGGGAATTTAGATTTAAAATACCCTATTGTTCTCTCTTTTTAGAGCTATGTGGCAGCATCACATACAGTCAAGCGTAAACATACAGTAAGCACTCTCTCTGCAGAGCACTCAGCCTGTACATTGAGGATGTATGTCACCATAATGTACTGAAGCATTCATATTGCTACTCAAGTAAATCTGTGTTTGGAATAAACAGAGATTTACATGAACTGTTTTTCGCTATTACTGCCCGTCTTGCACTCTTTACACAAGTATCTTCCTTCCCATAGTACTGTAAGTGAAATGCAAATACTTGCCCTTCATTCATGGCTTCAACTTGGATTTTGCAGTACAAGTAAATCTTTGCAATTTATTTAAATTTATTTAAATATATGCAATTTATTTAAATTTAAAACATAGTCATATTCTATAACTTTGAATGGTTTTTAAGAATTATGAATATAGGACTATATCAATAAAGTATCTATATATTACGTGTATATTACATAATAATACTTCAGAGTTGTTTAATTACCAGTTGAAGATGTTATATGCTGTCGTGATCTAATGAATCATTTACTTTAAGACAGGCTAACAGGAGAAAACACAGAATTATGAACAAGGCATGTAACTATAAAAAGTAACATAAATAAACTATAAAATAATGTGGATGACAGATGAAGCTGGAAGAATCCATTCCTGGTGTTATTTCACTTGATTGATTGCTGATTTTAGGATGTTTTTTCTTACTATCTCCCAACTCTCTGATAAATGGACTGATGACTAGTCACAGTATCCATGCTGCGGACTAGTAAGGCAGTGGAGTCCACCACAATGTCTCAGTAATGAAATGATTTAGAGGCTTACTGCACTGTTTACATTTTTTATGAATTCAATGTTGTTTATTCCAGACTGAAGAAGAAAAAAAAAAAAGAAAAATATCTCAAGGATCTCTGGGGAAAACAGATCCTTAGAAAGCATGTAAGAACTGCACAGGAGAGGTTGTTAGGCAGGAACAATCCACATGACAGTGAATTGCTGGTTTGTAGATCCTGCAGTCAAGCAAAACATATTTCATAGGATAGGGAATGAAGGGCACTCTGTACTCACTGCTTTTACTGACAGTCCATTTGATCTTACACCTTTTCTTTTGTTGCAACACAAACCATATTTATCCTTTTGTAAATACTGACACTGAATTGGATTCAGTGCTGTTTGATGGCTTACAATAAAGGCACGGTAAATGAGAAGAGTAAACAGCTGAAAAAAAACCCCTTGAAATAAACATATTATTTATAATTTTGATATTTTGATAGTTGATATCGGTAACACAGCTCTGAAGACCCTATACACTGTAAATGGGTTTCTTCTCTAACATTAAATGATATTTTGCCCTTGCAGAACATACTCTCTTCACAATAAAGCCATGCAAAATAAAAGAAAATTCCAAGGGAAATTTCTGCTGAGTATCTTCCTCCTTTTCCTTTAAAACAAGTATTTTGAATCATAGCTGAAGTTGATTTCAGCTAAATAAACGGATGAAACTCATTTGTAATTCTCATTTGAGAATATTTTTCTTTTCTTGTCTCATTTAGACTTGGTACAAAGAATGAATTATTAAGTATTAAAATTCATTTGTAATTTGTGGACTACATAATGTTAAAAGGCAGTTTTGTTGTCCAAATCACTGGTTAAAAGGAAGGTTTGGAAAGGTCTGGCTAATCTGTATTGGTCCTCCTGAGATAAATTCACGTGAAATAACAGCACAGTAGTTCTACCAGTTGATTGCAGATGATAAATGCCAAATGTATACATAGTGCTCAGTCTGTCAAGTTACCAAGCAAACTTAAATTTTCCCTTCTGGGTTAATTTTTCACACTGAAATAGCTGACATCATTGTTCAGTTCATCAAATGAAATGAGCATAACTTTTGTAGTAGTGAAGAGCTATTTGGCCAAGAAATTTGCATGTATTTTTTTCTGAGTTTCCCATGTACATATGTATAAGATTTCAAGAACATTCAAGTGCACTCTCTGCTTCTTTGTCTTTGAGGTTATAGACTTTGCAATCCCAGAGCAGAACCAAGAAAGATGAAAATAATTCAGCAGAATTAACTTTGCCACTTGAAAATGGATGGAAACTTCAATTTCAGATGCAAAGTTTGAATTTTATAATTATTTATAGATTTCAAAATACCACATGTGACAGGATATTTCCTTATTTAGAGCCCAGAGTTTTCTCTTTCAACTTAAACTCTCCAAAACTGAGAAGGAGCCAGCACCAACTGGTTCCTTAAGGACTTCTTCTGCAGCAGCAGTTTATTTCACCTCATCTGTTCATGAATAAGAAGAAAGAAATGAAACAGTTGACTTTTTCTACAGTCTTAGTATTCCTGTCTTTTGCTCATACTGCTTTGCAGACGCTCGGTGAGTCTTTGTTTTTTATCCCCTGCAAAAGTGGATGTGAAAGTTGGCATTTTTGTTGTCTTGCTTGTTTCTCAGAGTCTTTAAGATTTTCACGCAGGTTGACTACCCTGCGTTTTATATTCATCCTAACTGCAGTAGTCCACAGAAGTTTAAATAGATACAGGTACAGAGATGTTGGTCCACTTTTAAAGAGTCAAGATGGAGTAAAGCTGGGAATCAGAAGTCAGGAGAGTCATGTGTGCAGATAAAGATTTCCATTTGGGTACAACTTAATTATTGGCTATGTCTGCTCTGAGAAGAAGATGGACTCCACAGTGTGCTCCATAGTCTTTGTCTTTATATGTGACTGAGTTACGAGAAATAAAAAAGAGAAAGGAATTAAATAGGGTGTTTGTTGTATATGTATTTCCTAGCCTTAGGATAAGGTTGTGTGGGATGAGATGGAGCTTGTGGACTGATGTGAGAGGTAATATTGTGGCTGAATAGATGCCAATTCAAAATATATAAAAAATAGATCAGTCAAGAACAGGCCTGGAATAATCACTATGGCTTTCAGTGTAAAGATGAGAGGCATAGTTATGCTGTATGCTATTTGATGTCTTGAAAAGCAGGCAGCTGTATTCAGACTGATTCTCAGCACTGAATGACCTCCTTTACGTGTCAACGGTACAACTGCAGTACTGGGCAGCCTTTCCCAGCAGGGCCTGCTTGTCTTGACAGAATACTAAATTAAGCTGCCTATAATCCTTTGGAAGTGTTAGCTAGTTCCTTCAGCATTCACATATTGTCTTTCCATAACAATACGCAAACACACAGGGTCACACAGCTATGGTATCTTTATCTCTGTATGCTGCTCAGTGTCGGTTCTTGTGAGAATGTTTGTGATTTGATTGTGTGAATTATGTTGACTTCTTATGATACACATTCTTATAAGAGAATACTGGAGCAAGGCAAGATAACAAGTCGCTGTTCCATGGTTTTTCATCCTAAAAATCCCCTAAACCATAAAGAACATGCTGATTACAGAAGGAGCAAGAGTCGCAGAAGGCTCACTCACTGACTGTATTAAACAGAAATGCAACCCCATGGACATGAGCTAAATCTGTAACGCATGAAGTGATGGCAAACTTCCAAATCTTCAGTAAGGTCTCTTGAAAGAAATGTGTATTTCAGGAGAAAGTTCATGAAAATTTCATTATAGTGATGACATTTTTGATGCTGCCAAAATGTACTTTATGTGCTCTTACTCCTCTGTATTATATTCACATGTACTTACCAGAGCTGCACTTATTTTTCCTTCACAGAGGAAATAAAAGCCTTGAAAAGGTTGTTTGATCTTTGCAAAAGTGACTCAGATTTACAGTCTCCTGCCATGAGTCAGATCAGCATAGAATAAACAGCACATTTCTCTCCCCACAAGCTCTCCTCACCATGTGCTCACCATAAATACATTAATTCTGATTCTTTTGTTTTACAGACAATGAAATATTTTTAATATACAATGAAGATACCGAGCTGTGTTTAATTGCCCAGAGTTCTCATGCAGTCACAACAGCTGCTTGCAAGAAAAACACTGAGTTACAAAAATTCAGGTGGGTGTCTGATGACCAGGTGATGAGCGTGGCATTTGCACTGTGTTTGGGTGTGCCTTTCAAGAAAAATCAGGCTAAAATTTCTCTATACCCATGCAACAAGAAAAGTGAATTCCAGAAATGGGAGTGCAGAAATGCGACCTTGGCAATCCAAGGGGAAGATTTATTTCTCAGTGCTGGTGAAAGAAAAGAAGACAATATTGTGCTGAACACAGGATCGGCGACAATGAGTAAATGGAAGATCTACGGAACCATGGATGGTTTGTGTTCTCAAGGCCATGAAGGTAAAGTTTAAAGATTTATCTATCTATCTATCTTGATGGTGTGTTGAACACACTTTTTTTTGCCATGGGTCCTTTGATTTTTGCTCCCTTTAGTCTAACATCATCTGTTCCCCCTGAGGCAATGGTGGACTGAAGGATGATTAGTTCACATATTCAGCCTATATTCCTCCAACCTTGAGATGCACAGCTGCTTGCCCTCAGATAGGATGCAGTATGTGCAAAAAAAGTGCATTTTAAATTTTACTTTTAAAGCAAAGGTAGATGTAGGCTATTTTTAATTGTGAGCTTTAATCAAAGCACTTTATTTAACTGTATCCTAGGACTAGTGAAATTTTATTAGTATTGTTGTATGAAAGGCAAAAATCTTTAAGTTCAATATTCCAATATTAGAAGTACAGAAATAATTCCATGCACACTACCTTTCAGCTGCTGTATGAGATTTCAGGTACCAAAAATCCCACAACATTTAACAATTAAATCAATGAATGATTTTTAATGAATGATGGAAAGATAAGCTACATGATACACAAATAATGTTATTTTTAGAAAATTATATTTAAATATTAGATAAATACTATTACAGTTCTTTCATAGTTGGCTACAGTGTGAAACTGCTCTAATTCCAGCTGTTACAGCTGCTGATATCATAAGCAAATGGTAAATTGCAAGACCTACCCAGAACTCACATGGAAGACATGTCTGGTGACAGCAGGCGCCCAGTTACAGTGATGTAACACTTGTAACCCTTCCTCCACATAGCCTTATGAAGGAGACTGCAGATACATAGAGAATTGGGGCTCCCGGATTTGCATACCTATATTATACTTTCTCTTTTGCCCCCTCAGATCTGTTTACACTGTTAGGAAATGCCAACGGAGCTCCATGTGCCTTCCCCTTCCAGCTGAGTGGTACATGGTACGCTGGGTGCACGGCTGCTGGCAGGTCAGACGGCTTGCTCTGGTGTGCAACAACTCCCGACTTCGATAAGGACCATTTGTATGGGATCTGTCCAACTGGCAGTAAGTCCCAAATGCTGACATAGACGGTATAACACCACACTGTTAGGTAAATATATCAATACTGAGACACTGTTAATAATACAGAAGGGAAAAACCTTGTGATGCTATAGCATTCCTTACAGAAGAAACAAAAATGTTCCTATGAGTCTACAGTCAGGCTGAAAGTTTTCTGGGTGTGTCCATCAGTAGCTAACACCCAGGAAAAGACCAGTATGCATTAAATATGACTGCATTCTCTGAAAATTGAGACTACTCACAGCCTAATTCTCCTTGCCTCATCACTATTTGTGGTAACGACAGTATAACTTTTTCTACCCATGCAAATCCTTGTTCAGTATTACAAGATTGGTCTACAGTCCATGGGAGGATGAAGTTTCTTTTCTGAAAGACAAGAAATGAGAAAAATGGCTCAAAGGTCTTACTGAAAGATAAGGATAGCAGTGCTAGCCTTTCCCTTGTAATGTTTAAAATTACACTTAAAGACAATATTATCTGAACAGACAAACATATGCACATCTGAGTGCAGGATGAAAGACACCAAATATGGTGTTAATGAAGATATTAAAAATGCTGCCCAAGTGATGCATTTTTCAGTGCTATAGCACAGACTCACTATTTGGACAGAGCCTTGGGTGACATGGTTTAGTGTGTGGTGTCCCTGCTTATGGCAGGGGGGTTGGAACTAGATGATCCTAAGGTCCTTTCTAAGCCTAACTATTCTATGATTCTATGATTTGTCATTCTGACAGGAGTATTGCACTGGGAAATCAGGTACGATTCGTTATCAACCACCAACTACTACCACAATTTTGACTGGCATTACTGACAGTTACTTCCCTGTGCAATATTACATGGAGTAGTTCGAAATATCCCAGAACATCCTCAATATAAACTGGCAAACATGAAGTATTTGGCATTATAATATTGCTGGGACACTGCCACTAACACTTGAGTCTGCAGAATGCTGAAAATCTGAAGTGAACTAGCAATAAACACAATAAAAAACAGAAAACATTTCTTCTAATGAATCATTCAAGAAATTCAATATACTTTCCTCAGCAAAAGAGAATGTTAGGGGAAGTTGTAAACACAGCTTATTAGCACTTGCCCACAGAACAGTTTTGCTAAAAGTGAGCTATCACCAGACAGTTCAGAAATTCCGATTACCTAAAAAACGTTCAGACTAGAAATAAGGATTATTTTTTTTAAAAAAAATAGTAGAATCATAGAATCATTTAGGTTGGAAAAGACTTGTAAGATCATGGAGTCTAACTGTAAACCTGACATTGCCAGGTCCACCACTAAACCACGTCCCTAAGCACCACATCAACACGTCTTTTAAGTACCTCCAGGGATGGTGACTCCTCCACTTCCCTGGGCAGCCTGTTCTAATGCCTGACTACCTTTTCAGTGAATATTTTTTTCCTAATATCCAATCTAGTTCTCCTCTGGCACAGCCTGAGGCCATTTTGTGTGATCCCATCACTTGTTACTTGGGAGAAGAGACTGACCCCTACCCCGCTCAATCCTTCTCCAAGCTAAGCAGCCCCAGTTCCCTCAGCCATTCCTCATCAGACTTGTGCTCCAGACCCTTCACCAGCTTTGTTGCCCTTCCCTGAACATGTTCCAGCACCTCAATGTCGCTCTCTTGTAGTGAGGGGCCCAGCACTGAACACAGTATTCGAGGTGCAGCCTCATGAGTGCTGAGTGCAGGGGGATGATCACTGCCCTGGTCCTGCTGGCGATACTGTGTTTGATACAGGCCAGGATGCTGTTGGCCTTCTTGGCTGCCTGAGCACAAGCTGGCTCATGTTCAGCCAGCCATCAATCAGCACCTACAGGTTTTTTCTGTCAGGCAGCTTTCCAGCCACTCTGCCCCAAGCCAGTGGTGTTGCAAATGTAATTAATGATGGCATAGTTTGAAAAGAAAATTTTCTATCATTGGAAATGTTTGCATTTCAGTTGTATTTCAGCCAAGTGTTAATTCAGGCATAGACTATGAGCTGCTTAACAGGTTTTCAGAGTAGATAATGATCAAGGTACAGATTTGCTTTATTGATCTCTTTACGCTATTACTGTAATTTACTGGGGAAACTAAAAATAAAGGATGACAGGCCCATCTCTACTAATATCAATGTCAAACTCTTCTTTACTTAACAAAGAGCAAGCTAAGAGGACAGTATGGGTTTGGAGGGTCTGAGCCTAATTTGCTCCAGAATCTCATTTCACAAGTAAGCTTGTAGTTAAATTTTCTCATAATTTTTTGTGCAAGATGTTCATACAAACCGCAACACTAAATTTCCTTTTTCTCGTACAGACAATGACAGATTTTGGAGCACAGATCCTTTGACAGGCACCTACTACCAGATAAATTACCAGTCAGCTCTCACGTGGCACCAAGCAAGGAAGAGCTGCCAGCAGCAGAACGCAGAATTATTAAGTATCACAGAGATACATGAACAAAAGTATCTAGAAGGTGAATTAATAAGCAAGACTCAGTTAAAAGAGTGTCAAAGAGGTTTTTGGACTGATTACAAATGTTTCATTGTTTTAATAATACTATGATGAATAGCTGATATAAAAACAGTATATGTACCGCTAGAAAAACAGCACAATTATCATAAATTAAACTTTTCATAGAGAGAACTTTTGCAAGTTGTGGATTTGCCATTTGGATTTTTATGTTTTTTCCTCAAAGAATGTTAAGTATTTCCAGCTAATTAAGCAAAAGTTGCCTGAAGCTCAGAAAACACCAGTAAGATCCCAGAGACATCATTATAGGAACATCATTATAAGAGGCAGTCATTATACGATTTTTGTGTTAAGAAATCAGTATTCTTCACATATATCTGTAAAATAGATGTTCATAAATACTGTACAAATTTCATACAAACCACTATAAAAAAAATCTAAAAAATTCCTGGATTTATTGTAGACTTTGTAGAATAAAGGCCCTGTATCAATTGCATCACAATGAAGCAAACTCATAACAAATATTATCAATAGCAATTCAGTGTTTCAGTTTTCAAAGCTTATTCCTTACATATAACTACGGAATAGCCTTACATTCAGATAAACTATTATGCTAAACAGTCTTTTGCCATTCTCTACCCTTTGTTTAAAGAATAAACTGTTTATTGCCAGTAAATATGGATTCTGTACTGAACTTAGAAATCACTAAGCAGACATTTATTATCTTCCTCTGAGGTTTGAAAATGAAGAGCATTTCCTAACAAAATTTATTAGTATTCAACTCTTTTGGTTACCTAGATTTGATTGGCAGCAAGACATCCTCTCTCTGGATTGGGCTTAACAGTCTGAATCTCAAAAGCGGCTGGCACTGGAGCGGTGGCATTCCCTTCAGATACTTCAACTGGGCACCAGGTAGTAATCATTTTTTTAGCAGTTTTTGGAATGAATATTTCCTGACAATATGATGAATACATATAAATTACAGTCTTGTAGTATTCCCCATGAATATGAGGAAATTGAGTTGAAAGCTTATGAGACATGCAAGATTAAAAAGCTGAGAGTGATGCTTTTCTTCACTGGATATATCACAAGTAACTTCAAGCAAAAGAGCTAAATAAACTCATTTCCTACTAGAAACAGATGCAGTGAAAAGCTCTAGTTGAGATGTAGCATACTAAGAATGCCATCATTCAGTTATATCTTCTGTGTCTCTTCAAATGTCATGAGAGTTTTCAGACCCTGCATCCTGCAAGGACTCAGCTGTCAGTGGGCATCAGTCTTGCAAAGCCTTCCCCTTCACATTTTATTCTTTTCCTCTTTCACTCTCTCCTCTTTAACCTTCAAGAGAGACTGTAAATAAAGTTCACAGCATTGGCAGTTTATCTTGAAAGTGACTTGATTGCCACGGCAACAGCTGGTTGCAGCAAATGTTGTAGATTTGCTTGGTGAAAAAATAAATACACATATATTTTGGCCTTCCATAAATCTCAAAGGTGCCACCTGTTTTTATCTGGCACAGAGGACGAAGGGAAAACCCAGAGCTGCTAAAGGGTCTTCTACCTTCAGCTGAGCTGGTCAAATTCCTTAAGCCTTGCAGAGAAGAGGAGCAGCTGACTCTCAGGTCAAGCAGCCACACCCTTGGAGTTCCTGTATTCCCATGTGATGGCTATTATGTTTCCAGTTTACTGGAAGATTATTGTAAGTCATATCTTTTGGAGGAAGGGAAGAAAAAAAAAAAAAAAAGGAAGTCATCAGTCTGTGGACCTCTCTAAGAAGAGGAAAACACTGCCCATTCCCCAGGAACAGTGCTCCTGGATAATCTCCTGGAGAGCCGGTTGCAGGGGCAAGCAGAGGAGACACAGACAGCAAGTGTGAGGGTATGTAAGAGGCCTCTGATTGCAGCAAGGAGCAAATCTGCAGCCATGTTGCCAAAGGGACATGGAGAAAGGACCTTTCCAAGGGACCTGAGTGGAACTTTTTGTTCCAGCACACCACTGAAGGCTGCTGGAGCAGAACCTGATATAGAAAGGAAAGACTCCCCCGCAAGGGCATTGTGGAAATGAGGAAATTGGTTTTCACATATAATTTGGTATGTCTCATCCAAAAGATTTGCCTTATAGTTTACTTTAGGAATTTAATATTACTATTTTTCTGCTCTGCAAAACGCAGCTCTAGAAACTAGAAGCTATTTAACATGTTCCCATAAAGAGGAAGCCTACCCTGATAGGCTTCGTCCAGTGTAGATTCCCACCACTCCCTGCTCAACTGCCAGACAACACGTCTAACGAACTGGTAGTACTTTGCTTTTGTCTCATGTTTTTAACAAATAGTATTAATTCGCTAAGCTTGGTTTAGCTCTACAATGCAGACCTAGAACTCTACTTTTCAGGTTTTGAAATTTGTTTCTCTGTTAGCAGCTGATGGTTCTTACTCTGAAGGACACTCCTCTCTTTTCACATCTGTAAATTCCTTGTCTGAATATGAACAATGTTAATATGCTACTTCACTGTGTGTCTGCCCCAAATATTAGCTCAAACTGTGTCATCTGATTCCACGAATCTGAGTGTTTCAAGCTCATTGCTTAGTCCTATCAGCATAATTGGGTCCTGACAACAAATCATGTATAAAACTAGATGTTTCCTGAGCTGTGAAACTATGAACTCTGACTTCCTACAGTCTGTGTATAGCATTGCAACTGTAGCAGCAACAGATACCCTGGATTCTTCAGTCCAGCATCTACTGACTGAGCAACAATATAATTTATCCTGCAGCTGGTTGTGAGTTACATATTCCTTAAGGGAGGTATCACTGATTAAACAGGGAGGAGAGAGGAGAGCAAGGAAAGGACTTGCTGTAGCCTTTCCACCAGTGCAGGCTTAAAGTTTGATCTTCCTTTTGTGTGAGCCAACAATTTTCACAAGAACTATAGGAATGTCTTATTTTTGAGATTGCTATTCTGTAATCAAATATGGCATAAAGTGTGTGTTATACAACAAGCAAAAATAGTAATGTAATGTTTGATGGGTACTTCTAAATTCCACTCCTTATCTCCAGAAGAAAAATAACTGTAGCAAGTCCCAAGTTTGTAATTGGCACATGAAAAGTCTGGAAGTAAATTGTTGTTTTAGCTGCTGACATAGAACATGTGCTACATAAAATTATTTTGTTTTTTATTCTGTGAAGGAAACCCTGAGCCTGAGCCTGAGAAACTCTGTGCAGTACTAAATCCTAGAAGAGATGCTAAATGGGAAAACCAGCCATGTAAGCTGAGACTTGGCTATATCTGTAAAAAGGAAAACTCCACACTGGATCCTTTCATTCTTCCATCAAGTATGTCAAGCAAATAAAACCACTTTGATAAAGACAGAATTTATGTCACTAAAATGAAATTTTATGGCTATTTAAAATAATTTTTAAGAAAGCATTGCCATTCATTGTTCTGCTTTAGTAAGTGGCACAGCACAAAGCATACTGTTGTTTCTTTAAACAAATTGTTTAAGTACTGGCAGTGTTGTTGGAACCCAGTAACCACACAAGCAATTTTTATTTCATGTTAATATTCACAATTCCAGAGGCACTGGTCTAAGCCATACACCTTCATAAATGTATCATGGACTGCAGGATATGAAAATAAAGTCAGAGATGCCTCACCCTTCACGCAGAACATTCTAATAAGAACACCGAGGCTTATCATGGAAGGCTTGGAAAGATGGCAGCAACAGGCTCAAACCACCTTCTCAGTGGGTTTGTCTGGAGACTAGGAAGATGGAGTAATTAGCAAGACCCTTCAGCTCACTTTTCTACTATGCTTTTCTCTGGTTTATTTACTGAGACTTAGTATGGAAAGCCTTCTGTGCAGAGAATTATTTGAACTGCAGTTATAATGTCTTTATGAAACATGCAAAACATAATTGGGTGGGGTATATTGTGTGAAAACGCTACACATGGAATTCCAAAATAGTCCTCTGCCCAAAAGTGAGTATTTCACACTAGTGAAGCTCACTAACCGCTGAGTCTATTATTTTCCTCTTTTTTTTAAGTGCAGTATGTTTTCTGCAGAAGTATAGTGTGCAACAGCAAACAGTCTAAAATGTACAAGCAATGAAGTACTACTTATTTATAAACACTTCATCTTCATTCTAATTAGTTCCTTAAATGATTTCAAATGTAATTGCAATTGTTCTAGATTTCAGTTTGCACAGTTTAGTAACTTGGAATATCTATCGATTTTGAGGGAATACAGAGCCTGTTAAATGCCCAGAAGAATGGCTGCCCTATGGAGATCACTGTTTCATGGTTCAGAGAGACCCCAGAGAGTGGAAAGAAGCCCTGCTTTCTTGCAACGAGAGCAACAGCAATCTGGCCAGTATTCACAACTCTGAAGAGCATGGCTTCATACTGTCTCAGCTTGGCTACAGTGAGTATTTCTACAGGACAATGTTTGATACAGATGGAGAATTATATTATTAGACATATTACAGAATTAATAATAATAAAAAGGTCTATCTTTTTTTGTTTGTTATGAATATTTATAGGGAATCCCATAGATATACAGGTTAAAAAAACCCACAACTGAACACCAAAAATACACAAGAGGAATCATTAGTGTTCTCTTTATTTTCTTTTTCTTTCTGTTTGTTTTGATTTTAATTTGTGTTGTGTTGGGTTTGGGGTTTTTTTTCATTTGTTTTTCAGTGCATGAAATCACTTGAAGGAAATAGCAGCTCTAGTTACTGCAGTATTTGGGCTGATTATCTGCCTCAGACACTTTGTAGCTATAGATACAGTAATGGACTTTTACTGATAAAGCTGAGGAGTCTCATTTCCTGCTGGTATCTCATTTTTTAACTTCTTGAAAGAAGAATATGTATTAGATCTTAAAATAACCTCCACTGTCATTTAATCTGTGTGAATTTCTATTGTAATTTCTGCTCATTTCCATAAAATCTTGCTCCCGTGGACTGTTTCAAATTGGGTACTAACACAGCTGAATTTCTGCCTTTAGAAGCTGTAGATGAGCTGTGGATTGGTCTGAATGACCTCAACACTCAAATGTACTTTGAGTGGAGTGATGGAACTCCTGTGACATACACCAGATGGTTGCCTGGAGAACCAACCCATGCAGTCAATGGGCAAGAAGATTGTGTCATTATGGCAGGAGAGGTAGAATCATTCCACATTTGTGTAGCACTATACTGTTTGATTTTTGTTTCTCTTTCTAGGGTTTTTTTTAATGCAACTTAGAAACAGATCAGGGAATAGTATCTTTATTCACGAAGTTGTTTGTTCTAAACTAAATTTAAAAGTACATTAGAGATAACTAGACCAATGTTCATATCTGATTGTGAGCTTACATTATATGCCAAGTAAACCTTAACAGTCTGCATATGGCAGCTTAATATAACCACACAATTAAGATAAATACTTGGAATTAAAAAGTACAGCTCTTTATTCTCCCATTGAAACAATATTTTTTAAAATGTAATCAATAAAGTTTCAAAAAGAATCAGGTTTTGCCTCACTATTTTTCACCTCTTTCCAAACTGCCATCTAGGATGGATACTGGGCAGACAGTGCCTGTGATAGAAAGTTAGGTTACATCTGCAGAAGAGACCCACTACAAGGAGTTTCTGTGACAGCAAAGACTGATTCTGCCTGCCTGAAGGTAAGAAGAAAGTGTAACCAAGAATTTGGTTAACAAAAATCCATTTCACAATTTCCAAGTGTGAAATCCACTTTCACAAGCTCCGCTTGACATTGATACTATTTCCCTCCCTTCCTCTACCCCCACCAAGTGTGATTGTACATCAGATTCAGGGTGATAATTTTCACTACATTCTCTTATTTAAAATAAAATTATTTTGAAATTTTTTTAGTCAATATGAGTCAGGCCCATTATCTCTCAGAACTGTCTGTAAAAGAGGCTAAAGCCATTACTGAGGTTTTCTACATATTTGTTATATTATTCTACGACCATCCGTGGTTGTCTTAAGATGTCCTAGAAACTGGGGTCCATTTCTGAACTACGTGACATAATGCAAGATGATGACAAATCTCACTATTGAGGCCAAACTAAAACAATCAAATTGCTTTTATGAGTCAACTTGTTTTGAACAAGTAATTGTATTCTGTTGCTTTTCTCCCCACTCCCCTCTCTTTTTCCCTCTTTTTACTTTCCTATTTACTACTGTTCTATATTTAGTAACATGTTCCCATATGGGGAACAGAGCTGAGACTCATGCTAGATAGATAGAACTAGGCAGCAGCCAAATACTGAAAACAGATTTTATTTACCTTTCTTGGGTACAGCAAGCAAATCGTGAGCTGGTGTAGAAGGGAAAAGGGACTTGGAATTCAGCTGTAATTTTGAGGCTTTTGCTTTTTGATAGTTTTTATGCTAGCTCTTTGGTCAGACTTTTTAAGTGAACTGATGAGTCAAAACAATTAATTAGTCTAGTTACTATTCTTTTAGCATAGAAACATCAGGGAACTTGAGTTAGCATCTCACTATAACAGACTACTCTTTGATTCTGAGCAAAGAGTATTTTATTCACCTGCTTCTGAATATGCTCTCCATTCTGTGTGCCTCTGACTTCTTTGTAAGTTAAAATTTACCAGTTACTAATTGTCAAAAAAGGTGGACTCATGCATGAAATAGTAATCTTAATTTCCTCTAGTCCACTGGAATTCAAATGAATAAATTATCATATTTGGCTATGTTAAAAATATGTTGATTTAAGAGTATACACTGAAGTTCAAGCACTGTAACGTATGCTTTTACTACTGCAAGTAAATTTCACATGGTCTTGACAGGGCTGGGAAAGACATGGTTTTTACTGCTACCTGGTTGGACGTACCTCTGTAACATTTTTAGAAGCAAAGAAAACCTGCGAAAGGAGCAGTGGTTATTTAACGAGTATAGTAGACAGGTATGAAGAAGTTTAAAAACTGTGTAGTTGATGCAATAATGTTAGAATTCTATAAAATAGTTAAGAACTTTTTGGAAAAAAACAGAAAAACAGAATATACTTTTTCTGGAGAAACAGGAAAAAAAAAAAAGAAGAAAGAAAATAAATACAGTTTATCTTTTCCAACTAAATATATTGTACACATTCATGTTTTCAAGTACTTTACTCTGAAAGAACAGATCACAGCTGCTTGTGTTTGTAAGGAGCAGTTTTTCAGTACAGCACAGCTTCACCTGCTATTGAAACTAGTTTATATGGTACCCAGTTAAGCACGTATTTCCATGTAAAAGGAAACCTAATAGAGACTCCATTCATTCTAGTCTTGTGTAGTTTCTGATGATGAGAAATGGCACACTGAGGGAAAGCTCAGTTTAACCCCTATCTGACTCATGTAATTTCAGATATGAGCAAGCCTACCTGACCAGCCTCATTGGTCTGAGCTCTGAGAATTACTTTTGGATTGGTCTCTCAGACACAGAAGAGCAAGGGATGTTCAAGTGGGTGACTGGTGAAGGTGTTCTGTACACAAACTGGAATGCAGCAATGCCTGGTACTCGGCCACTGGAGTAAATTTATGCTACTAAGGAACTTTGTGTTGTAATTATAAACTGTTTCCCAGCTTTGCTAAAACACATTCATACGATGACACAGTCTCTTCTCCCAAGTAACAAGTGATGGGATCACACAAAATGGCCTCAGGTTGTGCCAGGGGAGAATTAGATTGGATATTAGGAAAAAATTATTCACTGAAAAGGTAGTCAGGCATTAGAACAGGCTGCCCAGGGAAGTGGTGGAGTCACCATCCCTGGAGGTATTTAAAAGATGTGTAATGTGGTGCTTAGGGATGTGGTTTAGTGGTGGACCTGGCAATGTCAGGTTTACAGTTGGACTCCATGATCTTACAAGTCTTTTCCAACCTAAATGGTTCTGTGATTTTCTATGATGTCGTGAAAGTATTTCTTTCCTGGTTCCTCACTGCAAGGGCAAAATCAAGCTGAGTGGAAAGGGTGAAATCCCTTCTAGCCTGGGCTGTCAAATCCTTGCAGTGATTAGCATAGGAAAGAGGCAGGCAAGGGGTTGTTCATGTGCTTGTAAAGCTTTACACAGCGGAGGGAAGATGATGAAGGACTCCGCTTGCTGTTTTCCTCTTTTTACAAAACTCTTCCTTTGAGCAGACACTACAGTTAAAATCTTGAGCAATCTTTTGTAAATTAATCACGAGCTGTAAAACTGTCAAGGAAACCACTTTAAAACACATTTCAATTTTCTTTAATATGTCACAAAGGAAACGATGCCGGTTGTGTTGCCCTAAGGACTGGAAATGCAGCTGGACTATGGGATGTTCAGAACTGTGAAGTAAAGGCAAAATTTCTCTGCAAAAAAAAAGCTGAAAAAATCACTCTTCCTCTGGCTTCTCAAACCATTTCTGATTCCAAATGTCCCTTGGGTTGGGATACAAGCAATAGCATTAATTCGTGTTTCAGAGTGAGTACTATATTTTCCAACACTCCTACTCATGAGACAGAAGAGCACCAAATAGATAGGGCATCGCAACTTCAGAGGGCATCTAAACTTCAGAGAATGGCATGTTATTGCATAAACATAGTAAGCTTATTTACAATTATTCATGGAAATCAACACGGCTATCACTCTGTCAGTGATACACTAGGTTATCCAATTAGCATACTCTTTAGTCCATATTATATCTCATAACTGTAATGGAATGTTTTCCTGTTTTGCTTATACAAGGCAGTCAGCAGATTTATCTTTAACGTGCTGAAACATAGAGTTCTACCTATATCTATAGGTTTTCATGAGAGAAGAAAAGCAAAAGAAAACATGGTTTGAAGCCCGAGATCTTTGCAGAGAAATAGGAGGAGATCTGGCTGCCATTAGAAGTGAAGAAGAGCAAACAGTGATAGAAAACTTAATAATGTAAGTAAACAAAATATCTAGTAATTTATATTTTTGTGCAGCAATAAATTTATATAGGAATAAATTATAATATGTTTGTGTTGCTCCTGAGGTAATTAGCTGAAAATCTTAATCTGTTTATCATCATAGTAGTAACAAAAAAGAACTGAGAATATATTTCATATAGGTACCGTTTTCAAAGACATTTTTGGAGTTCCTAAAATTTGTCATCATCTGCAAATCTTTCAAATTAAAAAATATCAACCCAACAACCAAACTGGTTGAGTGCTTCTCCTTCAGACCCATTTCTGTTTGTTCACTGAACTGTTTTGAAATTAAATCGTGTCTTCCAGCAAACACTTCATTTCTCAAAGATATAATCACATCAGTAAAGAAAAACAGTGTGCAGTGTTTTCAGCACAACCATTTGCAAAGTAGCAAATTTTAAGGCATGAACTTAACTTACTTGCTAATGGGAGTTACCTGACCCATTTTGTTAGCTTTAAAATTTCTACTCTATCTTTAGTAAGTGTGAGAGTTATTGTCCCACGTAACTTTCAAAATCTAGCAGAGCTAACCACATACATCCTCTTCTTCCATGATATGTTTTCTCATGCTCTAGAAAAAAACCACCATCATCTCAGCCTTTCTGGATAGGTTTGCAGTGTTTGGATCCTGATGCTGGGCTTTCCTGGAGTGATGGATCACCGGTGAGTATTTAACCTTGCCAGTTTCTTTCTGTTCTAACTTCCACTCTTGTGGCTGTTTTCATGACTGATGAAGATGAAATTTATATAAGAATTCCCAAAATGTCTATCTAGGTAACTCTAAATCATTATTCTCCATGCTGGTTTAAAAAAGGCCAATAAACCCTGAGGCTACACTACCACAACAGTGATGGCATGGAGTACTAGACAGAGTACTAGTTACAGCTACAGAGATGATTATCTAAGAGGCAAACAAAAGAAATATTTCTCCTGATTTTTATTAGTCTCTGGTGATACATTGCCATGTTCTTTTCCCCTGATGTTGATTTATAACCTTATTTGATTCAAGTTTCCATGGGCCTGCTAGAGCCTGTAAGATGCTACATAAGCCCAGAGCATTTCTTTTTTCTTGTGGAGTGACTGTACAGATTTAACAGCCCACATAGACTGCACAGCCATGGGAGGAAAGTAAGGAGTGGTTTGAGACTTCAGTTATACTTCTCTTTACTTCCAGAGTACAACTTTTTTCCCTGTATGATAAGAATGAAAACCAAAGCTGTGTTTCTTCTTCAGGTGGATTATAAGAAGTATGATTATATTGACAATATTGCATTTGAATATTGTGGAGCAATCAGAGAAGAGTCTTCCATATCATGGATTATGGTGCCCTGTGAAAGCAGTCATAACTGGATTTGTAAAATAAAGAAAGGTAGGTTACTTTTTACTCTAACCTCACATTAGGAAGAAATCTAAGATTAATCCCATTCTATCAAAACTGGAATTTCTCCAAGTTGCATGAGGATAGAAAATTTGGTTGATTTCATGGGAATTTTGCTTAAGGAAAAATAGGTCAAAACATATAAATACTTTCAGAATAGAACATCCCAACTGTTACTGATAATTTTTTTTTTTTTTTTTTTTTGCTTTGACTGACATGAAAATGTATGTTTCTTGGAACATTTATTTGTAGGGAATTCCCAATGTGGGGGCTAAAGGGCAGAGAGGGAAAAAGACAAATTACAATTAAAAAAAAAAAAAAGAGATTGCTTTAAATTTCTGTATCATTTGTGAAGTGAAACTTCATTCCTCCACCCAGGTGTAGCTAGAATCATAGAATCATAGAATAGTTAGG